AATCACTTGGAGGGCATGTTTCAAGCACAGATTCCTGGAGCCCACTAACAGGTGATCTGCCTTCCTAGCAAGGCCCAGCAATCTGCATTTCTCACTTTCTGTGCGCTGGTGATGGGAATGTTGCTGGTTCCAGGAAGTCTGAGCAGCAGTAAAGGTGGTAGTGCTCAAACTTTAAAGGTCACTAGAATCACCTAAAGCATTTCTGAAAACACAGATTACCAGGTCCCACCCCTAGAGTTTCTAAAAGAATAGGTCTGAGATGGGGCCCAAGAATCTTTGTTTCTAACAACTTCCCAGATGATGCCACTAGTCCAGGAACCATGCTTAGAATAAACAATTTTGAGGCTGAAAAGTTTGATTTTAAACTGTAGGCAAAGTGATGAAAATACTTAAGAGAAAGTCTGATAAGTGATGCAGATGACTATTTAAGCACAGTGTGCACTGTTTTACAGTTAATTAGGATGAGACAGGCAGGGACTTTGGAGAGACAGGAAGGAGGGGAAAGGAAACCAATGAAGTGCCCAGCTTCTGTGAACACCCTTACATGCTCTAGCAAATGTCCCTTTGAGTTGGTCTCCCCCACTAGACTCTACTCCTCCTCAGAGCAGGGACTGTGGCTTACTCATCTCTACACCCCTAATGCCCAGCCCACACTGCGGTCACAGAAGTCTACTGAGTGAATGAGGCTCTCACCAGAGACTGGGAATAAGAAGATAAATAAACAAAGGAGGTGGCAAAATAAATGTAAACCAAAGGATGCAAGAGGCTAGGGGGTGGAGAACCAATGGGCTTGGTGAATATGGGGAATATGAGGAATAAAGGAAAGTGGGGAGGGGAAGATACAGAGGGAAGAAGGAACCATAGATGACTCGTGGAAAACAACGATACCGTGAATGGAAACAAAGAAGTCAGGAGGGCAGACTTATTATGGATAACATTTGTGGAAACGGAAAGACCGAACAAGGGGTAACCTGATGAAGCCCACCATTCAACCTGCCTTGCCTGCTTTTCATCACTTTTTTCTAGTTCTAAACTCCCACTAACAAGTCAAGTTGCCAAACAATACATAACTACACTCCCACTAGCTTCCTTGTAAATAATAACAGACTGTGGCTCACAACAATAACTGGTGCTTAAAGTTTTTCTCCAGGAACTAGGCGGCAGCTCTTGCTCATTCAAGCCGGCTGAGACCCCCAACCCTTCAACTGGGCCTGTGTGAATGCCCAAGAGGTGATCAGAGGGCCAAAACACTCCTCCCTCAGATGGCGCTAACGCCACCATTTTCTGCATGTGTCCTATGAGGAACCACATAGCTAGATTATGCTTGCATGGAAGCCCCAATGACCTCATCTTTCCTACCCACCAGTCACCTCTTCCTGCACTTTAGACCACCCTGCTTTCTATCGCATAAGTACCCCCATCCCTATTTTCAAGGAGGTGGATTTGAGACCTGTTCTCCTGCCTCCTTGCTTGGCCATGTTATGAATAAACTCTCACAAAACCCATCGTCTCAGTGATTAATTTGCTGTGAGTGGGCTGAATGAACCTGATTTATAACAAGACCTCCAACTAAATGATCATCCCACTGGATGTGGTGGCTCATGCCTGTAAACCCAACACTAATGGAAGGTTGAGGAGGGAGGATCACTTAAGCCCAGGAGTAAAGACCGGGCTGGGTAATATAGTGAGACCCCTATCTCTACAAAAAATTAAAAAATTAGACCGGCATGGTGGTGCACACCTGCAGTCTCCAAGCTACTTAGAAGGCTAAGGCAGGAGGATTGCTTGAGCCCCGGAGGTTGAGGCTGCGGTAAGCCATGATCATGCCGCTGCACTCCAGCCTGGGGGACAGAGAGATACCCTGCCTCAAAAAAGACTATCCTAGTGAAATTCAGCCAAAAGAACTGCTGCATATTCCAAGCACATGAGTTTGGCTAACAGATAAAGAATACAAGAATACAGTCACCAAGGGTTTAATTAGATAGAAATGTTTTTAGTTTTCAATTGGATGAATTTAGATGAAAATGGTAAAACAGCATTATCTACACCTAAAGTTAACCAAAATACTAAAACTGATATTTTAAGTACTACAGAAGGCCTCCCAGGGCCACAGCCAGGCAGGATCTCCTGAACTGTTACAAACCAAGGACGGAAGTGAGGCCCTGCCAAGCCATCTGTTCTCTGGTATCTTTCCCACTCCGTCCTCTACCAGGAGATCATCCTGCCAGATGAGGAGACTACAGCTCTAGGAGTAAATACATCAGGCTACAGCTACCATTTCTAGACACCATAAATCACCAACCTTGTTTTTACAATTGCTAAATGTGTGTAGATTTCAGAGAAATAATGGTTACTGTTCCCATACCAAATTTAACATGCAAACACAATGAATATTATGGAAGAGAACAATAAGACTTCAAATATACATAAATGCACACAAATGACCCAGTAAACACAAATACACCACCATGAACAAATACGTATCTCATGAAATATTCTATTAATACACACACACACACACACACACAGATATATATATTTTTGGGACGGAGTCTTGCTCTGTCACTCAGGCTGGAGTGCAGTGGTGTGATCTTGGCTCACTGCAACCTCCGCCTCCCAGGTTCAAGCAATTCTCTGCCTCAGCCTCCTAGGTAGCTGGGATTACAGGCGCCTGCCACCAGGCCTGGCTAATTTTTGTATTTTTAGTAGAGACGGGGTTTCACCATCTCGGCCAGGCTGGTATTGAACTCCTGACCTCATGATCCACCCGCCTCAGCCTTTCAAAGTGCTGGGATTACAGCTGTGAGCCACCGCGCCCAGCACACACTGGTATTTTTCTAATCTAGGTCTTAAAGAAAAATAAGAGCTTATTGCAATCTGCTCATTTCTGATGTTCCTCTACTTACTGAGGCTAAGTCCCTTTAAACCCATCAGAAGTTGAAAATACATAGTAGGTTGAGAATATATTCAATACATCTCACTTACTGAGTATCATAGATTACACTTACATTAGCCTACAGTTGGGCGAAATCATCTAACACAAAGCCTATTTTATAATAAGTTGTTGAATATCTCATGCAATTTATTGAATACTAAACTGAAGGGGAAAAAACAGAATGGTTGGATGGATACTCAAAGCACAGTTCTACTGAAAGTGTATCACTTCTGCACTATTATAAAGGTGAAAAATTGTAAGCTGGCCAGCATGGTGGCTCACGCCTGTAATCCCAACACTTTCAGAAGCTGAGGTAGGTGGATCATTTGACGTCAAGTGGTCGAGACCAGCCTGGCCAACACGGTGAAACCCTGCCTCTACTAAAAATACAAAAACTAGCCAGGTGTCGTGGTGGACACCTGTCATCCCAGCTATCTGGGAGGCTGAGACAGGAGAATTGCTTGAACCCGGGAGGTGGAGGTTGCAGGCTGCGGTGAGCTGAGATTGCGCCACTGCACTTCAGCCTGGGTGACAGAGCGAGACATTCTCAAAAAAGAAAAAAAAAAGAAAAAGAAAAATTGTAAGTTGAACCACTGCAAGTTGGGGACCATTTGTATGTGGAAAAAAACACCAACCTAAAAAGGATCAAATAGACCCATACTGCACAAAAGCAATTTTTGTGTATGTACCAATCAACCCTATATTAATAGGATCTACAAAAACCTGCTCAGAAATACTTGTCTGTGATTATTTAAAAACAAACAAAGAAACAAAAAACATGAACCCTGGCAGGTTAGATGAGAAACTGACGTAGGGTTACCACATGAACCTGCCTTAAGAAACTTCTCAAGCTGAGAGCACTGTACTGACAATAACCTTTCTAGGTATGTACATACCTTTTAAAAAACAATTTTAATTACACGGTTTTAGTTCTTATTTGAAAGGAGCTGACACAAACCGGAACACAAAATAGTACTTGATTTGCTTTTAAATTAGAGAAGTGACAACTGAACTGAGATAAATCTCATTAGAGACACAAATAATATAGGTTAGTTTCAAAATACCTTATCTCATGCCTGTTTGGTACGTCATGTTTTTCAGCCTGTAGTTTCTGGGCCAACACTGAATGAAGATCTGACTTTTCCAGCAATTTGTTATCTATTAAAATAAAAAAGTCAGAAATTAAGTTATTATAACATATACACACTTGCTAGGTACCTACCTTGTCATGTATTGAAGGATAAAATACAGGAACATACATTCCTCAGCCATAGTAACCTACAGAATCACCTGCAAGAATGTCTTCTCTATTAAAGGGAGCTGAAAATGCTTCCTACCCCCGAAGTTATTTGTTTCTACCTTGGGAGGAAAAAAGAAAAAGAACCACATGAAACACGATGGCAAAGTGAAATGCTATGGACCTTTAAGTACTACAGGAGAACTTTACCGTAATTGACACATTAAATTACTTTTTAGGTCAGGGAACTAGAAATATAAATAAATGACAGTCCCCAACATGAAGGAGTTAACATTTAATTCAGTCAAGTATAAAAAGGTACAGAGAATACACTCTGTACTCATTTTTATGAATGGTATCACAGGTGGTGATATATGAGTTAAGTCTTAAGAGAAGATGATGGGCCACGCAGAAGGAATAACAGAGTCTTTTGGTAAGTGGCTGGAAATAAAGGTTGGAGCCAACACTGGAAAAAGCAGGATCAGAAATTTAGACTTCTTACTGGCAATGATGAAATAAGAAATTATAAAAGCAGGCAGTTACATTAACAGATCCGTATTGGTAAAAAGTCAAAGATTATTCTGAGACTCCTCGCTCAGGCAACTGGGCAGAGGATGCTAACATGTGAGAGAACACAGGAGGGGAGAGCTAAGAGAGGAAATGAGTTCTCTTTCCAAACATAATCAATTTGACAGGAGACAGAGTACAGAAACTCAAAAGACAGGATTAGAAAGAACATGGAGTTAAGAGTAATAGGTACACAGGCCAGGCGCAGTGGCTCATGCCTGTAATCCCAGCACTTTGGAAGGCAGAGGAAGGCGGATTACCCGAGGTCAGGAGTTCGAGAACAGCCTGGCCAACATGGTGAAACTACTAAAAATACAAAAATTAGCCAGGCATGGTGGCACTTGCCCATAGTCCCAGCTACTAGGGAAGCTGAGGCACGAGAATCGCTTGAACCCGGGAGGCAGAGGTTGCAGTGAGCTGAGATCGTGCCACTGCACTCCAGCCTAGGCGACAGAGCAAGACTCTGTCTCTAAATAAATAAATACATAAAATGAAATAAAAAATAAGAGTAATAGGCATACAGGCACCAGTAAGATCAGATATGGGTACCGGTTCTGCAGGTACCAAGCAGAACAAGACAGGGTTTATGCTAGTGACTATTCCTGTTCAAAGAGCTTGTTTCTCTTTTAAAGAGTCTTGAGTCCCACTTCCTGATATCTGAAAAGAGAATTCCTAGGTAGTAAACACTCTCATCTGTATTAGTCAAATGAATTAGCTCAGCCAAACTGGGCATTGGTTTCCACCTGGGACATCATGATTATGAGAAAGGTTTAAAATCCACCAGTGTCAAAGGGCTCTAGTAAGATCTTCAGATGTTAAACCAAAGCTCAGAGGCATTCAAAAGAAGTCCTTCTCAAAGGTTGCTCCCTGAAGAGAAGGCTGGAGACAGAGGGAAGCCTTTCCCCTCCCCCTACAGCTTCTTTCCACCGTTCTCTTCAGATTCATACGCAGGGACTGAACAGGGAACAGACTCCAGGTTGATGGAGGGTCAGAACTTGACTGGCCTGGGGAGGCTGGAATGAGCGGAATGAAGGTGTTTCACAAACTATAATAGAAACGATCTCCCTAAACATCAATCCCTCCACCTAAACAGAAGATCTTAACAAGCAAAGGCTGTCTCACTCTCCTGTTCATTGTTAGCTTCTCATCCCAGTCTCCTCTCCTGGTCCCTCAGGCAAGCATTACTGGCTTCTCTAGTACCTTTTAAAGCTATCTTCTTCTCACAACCGACCTCTTATTCTGACTGTTCTACATGTTCCTGTCCCATCAAGATGCCATTTTCAAAGCGCAGGAAAACATTCCATTTGTGTCAAGAGATAATGCTTTACAATTACAGGCTATTATACAGACGGCTTTGAAAGCACTTATATGCACAGCACTGTTTTTATGAAGTGGGCAGGGCAAGCTTCATCCCCATTTTATAGATGAGGCAAAACAGATTCAGAAAGTAAGTGAAAGGGTTCAGTGAGGGGTGAGTCAAGCCTCCAACCCAATTTGACTTTCAAAGGATATTAGCTTTTAAAGCATAAGCACCCAATAAACACCTAATGAACTGATTTATGTCATCTGTCAGGGAATCATGTTTTGAGTAAGAGGGACTTGTGCTTCTGGCTTTCTGAAACAGTACTGTTCTTCACGGCCTCCTAGAACAGCAAAGCATCCCCTTTCTTCTCAGTTTTGTTAAAACAATGGGTGCAGTGAAAGCAAAGAACCATTTGCTGGGGGAGCCAGTGAGAAAAGCAAATGCAAAAGTTAGTCATCAAGCCTGAGTTCAAATCCCAGTCCCGGCTGGGCACGGTGGCTCATGCCTGTAATCCCAGCACTTTGGGAGGCCGAGGCAGGTACATCACCTGAGGTCAGGAGTTCAAGATCAGCCTGGTCAACATGGTGAAACCCTGTCTACTAAAAATACAAAAATCAGTCAGGCGTGGTGGTGCTCGCCTATAGTTCCATTTTTTTTTTTTTTTTTTTTTGAGACGAGTCTGTGCTCTGTCGCCCAGGCCTGGGGGCGCAGTGACCGGATCTCGGCTCACTGCAAGCTCCGCCCTCCGGGGTTGCCGCCATTCTCCTGCCCTCAGCCTCCGAGTAGCTGGGACTACAGGCGCCCCGCCACCTCCGCCCGGCCTTTTTTTTTTTTGTATTTTTTAGTAGAGACGGGGTTTCACCGTGTCAGCCAGGATGGTCCTCGATCTCCTGACCTCGTGATCCGCCCGTCTCGGCCTCCCAAAGTGCTGGGATTACAGGCTTGAGCCACCGCGCCCCCGGAACATTTTGATTCTTAATCTCTTTTTAGGTGGGAACAGAACCTTTGCTGTACTGAAATCTTCAGTATGAAGAGGTGGTTGTCTTTCCGCTACTGCTTGCAGCTTAAGGGTACAAAAATGTTGTACCTTACCTAAATCTGTAACTGGTCCTGACGGTTGGTTTCCATCTGTCCCTGAAAGTAAACTGACCAACTTTCCCAAGTTATGTTGATCATGGGATTCAAAAAACTGCTGCCTTTTTGCATTCTGATTGTGCAAAATCAGTAGTTCTCAAACTTAGGTGCACATTTAGCATCACCTGTAGATCTTTAAAAATTACGATCCCAAGGCACACCCCAGACCAAACAAATCGCAATATATGAAGTTAGGACACAGGTATCGTGTGTGAGATTCAGCTAGAACTGCATGCCAAGTTATCAGTGTTTTTTGATGCCTTCCCAAATGACTCTACTGTGCAGAGAAATTTGAGTACTGTGGGGATCTCTCTCAACAA